TAATAATAATAATAATAATAATAATAATAATAATAATAATAATAATAATAATAATAATAATAATAATAATAATAATAATAATAATAATAATAATAATAATAATAATAATAATAATAATAATAATAATAATAATAATAATAATAATAATAATAATAATAATAATAATAATAATAATAATAATAATAATAATAATAATAATAACAATACTTTAGCAGTAATGATATTTGTTCTTTAACCTTCTGTTGAGCGCAATTGTTAGCAAAGCTATTTAATGATAATGATATATGAAATAATAAATTTGATGACTATTTTATCTGTTAAAACATACACATACACACATACATTTCCTTTGTCACAAAATTAATTGTGTTATTTCAGTTAAATTTTTTTTTAAATTAAATAATAAATAGGTTTTATGCATTTCTTTTTTGGTGATTCATCCTAAAGTTTTAGTTGATATCACTTTACAGAGGTAAATTTCATTTATAAAATGGAAACCTGAATATGCATTAAATTCATTCGTTATATTTCTTATTCTCATTTATGGCTTATCAATTTCATTCAAAGAATTTACTCCCCGCACATCGGGATAAAATTCACGATCTCAATTTCACTCAAAGAATTTTCTCCCCGCACATCGGGATGAAATTCACGATTTTTTATTTATTTCAATAAAAATAACTACTAGTAATGTTGATGAAATTAGAGTATTTATAAGGGAAAATTGAAGATTGTTGTCGCAAAAATGTTCATAATGATATTTCCCAACCAAAAAAAAAAAATTAAAACGTGATACAGTAATGGATACAGTAATTCAATTGTTAAAAATGATTTCAGCATTTTAAAATTGTTTAAAAAAAATGCACCTTATACGAATAGATTCAAATGAATTATTGAAATGAGAGAATTTACCTTGCACCAACAAGAAGTGAATCACCATCTGTCTCTAATAGTTTGAAATAGTTTGAATCATTTTCCGTTACTGGTTCCGATGTTGTTATACCATTACGGCCAGTAAATCGTCTTCCGGAATGTACTAAAATATTTAATCATTTTACTGCATGATTACTGAAATCAATCTCATTTCCATTTTTTGTAAAACGAGAAAAAATCTGAACCATAAAAAATTCGTGATATTTCACATTTTTGATGCATCGATATTTTCTTAACTACTACATTTGATCGCATTTTAACATTTAAATTGTTTGCACGTACGCCTCCATGCATGCATGCCTGCATGCATGTATCACGTACATTTACTTATTTTCACTACAACAAATTAGTGAAGCGCACAATTCAAATCATTTACAAGTTTCAAAATGTCAAATTTCATTTGACATGCTTGAGCCACTCTAGCAACTAATATTGGATAAATCTTTTTCAGACGATTTCAGGACACTTTCTATAAATTACTTTTGTATATTCGGAATTAAAATTGCACAGAAACCGTAAAACTATCATCAAACGTTTTCACTATAAACGTTTTTTACACGTTCACACGTATATCTCACGTCTTACTTCTACACAATTCTGTATTACGCTTGACATAAATCTTTAATTGCAAAAAAATGCTGAGATGAAAATTTTTTGAAATATTTGAAAATTGTCATTCCATCAAATTTTCCGATTTTGACGTAAACATGTTAACATTACAACAATCCTTTCATATATCGAAAATACTTGGATAAACTTTGGAAAAGGTTGACTGCGTCAGGATGAATTAATTATGTGACTTTTTAGAACATATTTCAACGTAATACACTCCAGCGCACTTCAGCACGTTTCAACGTAATACTCCAGCGCACTTCGGTACGTCTCAACGTAATACTTCTGTGCATTTTAGTAGTGTGGACAATCGAATGTGACAGCAGTAATAGCGTATGAAATAATGAAAATTTGAAGACTTTGCAAAAAAAGAGCAATTTTTGGTTGAAGTTAATGAAATCACAAAAATATGTGAAAATGAAAAGTAATTAAATTAAATTATAAAAATAAAATTGCAGCGAATTTTCAAAAAAAAAATTTGTTGAAGGTAGCAGTCCAAATATTATTTTTTATCTATGGCTTGCTATGCATATAGTATACTAAGCAAATTAAAATACGAAATGGAATTCAGTAGTTCAATGCAATTTAAGGGTTCAGTTAATAATATCCTAAAATTTAATTTTTAAATGACAATAGTTGTTAGTATTAATAAAATGTAAAGAAAAAAAATTGATTGGAATACTGAAACAGGTTATAAAATTCAATTTGATTTTGGAACTAACTTCAGAAATTTCAATTAGTTTCCATAAATTAGTAACAATTTAATTTTCGATGCTTACGTTCTTTTTCCATCTTTTTTCCGCTGGTATTCTTTGATTTAGCAGCAGGAAGGTTTTCTTTTGATATCGAAAAAAATTTTAAAGAATGTTATTACTTTTTTTTCAAACTTTTTCAAAATATCTTCCATTTTTATTGATATCATACATCGTATTTCCGCAATCTTTTCCGCAATATCATTATTTATGCCGCTGTGCCAATTCAAAATATGTTTGAAATAGGTGATGGAAGTAGTTGTTGTTAGGCAATTTCCAATAGTTAACAATTTGACAATGTTTTGTGCTTAGAGCACAGTACTATGACCTATTATTTTCTTTTTTTTTTTTTTCTATCATCTCAAAGGTGACATTGGCGGTAATGTTAAAACAAAGGAAGATTTCCTTCCAGTTCATAACGTCGGCAATATTGTCATCAAAGCAATTTATGCTTAACGACTGATACCAATCAGTTTTTTTTTTGTTCCCCTTCATCTTACATAAGAAAATAACGTAAGTAGCACACACACACACATACACACAGTTATGCAAGACAGTCCTAATCAATTAAAAAAAAAGATTGGCCAAATATTAGCTATTCGAAATGAAGCCAAGTTCATATTGTCAAATTAGCCATCCGAAATGAAGCCAAGTTCATATTGTCAAATTAGCCATCCGAAATGAAGCCAAGTTCGTATTGTCAAATTGTTTGGACAGGATTGTTAGTTTTAGATGAATTAATTAATGCACTGTATACTTTCTAGTAATTTTTTCAGTGGTCAAATGACAAAAAAAAAAAAATTGCCAATACTTTGGCGGAAGTTAATTATTTATCTTCAGTCTTTAATGAATGACCCTTCCTACCGACAACATTAACATGGCGCCATGATGGTGACCTTATAATATCATACATGTTATTACGAATTTTTGCGATCATCAAATTAGTTCAAAAATCAATAAATCGAGACGAGAAATCTCAGGATAATAATCATAAAAGAGAAATTAATTAAGGAGTTTTGATCTTATTGATGACAGAAAAAAAAAGAAAATATCCAAAGTTTTCGTGAAAATAATTACCTAAAAAAAAAAAGAATTAGATAACTCTTGAAGACTTTTTGTTTAATTATTTTACTTATCTGTTTATTTTGCATATTAGCATATTAGCTTACTTGCTTATTTGTCCATCTAAATTCCTTTCTCATTCATTTACTTTCTCTCTTTTATCCTCTTTTTTTTGCTTTACTCTTTAATTTATCAATTTGTTATTTTAAAAATAACAGTTTATTTCATTGATTTAACAAAATATTTCTCAAAAAATACATGAAAATTTGCCATTTTTCTAAAATTTCCAATAAAATTTAGTTGAGAAGCAATGATTAACTACAGATAAAGAGTGCTCGATCATTGTCGTTATCATTTCTCTCTCTCTTCCTCTCTCCCTCTCTCTCTCTCTCTCTCTCTCCTCTTTTCCTAACGGGAAGTATCTATCATCCCTTGAGGGAATATTCATGAAAATTTATCTCTTTCCAGATTTTTAACTTAACCAAAGCAGATTTAAGCTAAGCTTTCTTAGCTTAGCCAATTATCTTCCTTCCAATAGCTTTTTCTGAATTACAAACCGAGTGCCTGAATAAACTAGACAAGCCTAAGATGCCTTGAATTGAATGTATGATAAATTAACGGAAATAAGCCAAATCTCTCTC